AAAAAAAGAAAAAAAAATGCATTTTATTTTTTTTTTCTAATTTTGTTGTATTTCGCACATACCCCCCCCACCAAAAAATCATCTTTTTCATTTTTTTTTTGTGTGGGCGGGTGGGGCAGGGGATGCGCCGCCACGTGGCACCGCCAGAATCACGAAACCCCCTCCCCTGCGGCCGCCACGTGTCCACCAATCCGCGTGGACATGTCCGCAGGCTTCACGGACTGGTCGAGGCCGCGGACTTGGCCGCGCCTGTCCGGCGCCGGGGGGGATACATAGGTGGTAGTCAAAACGTGAGAAGTCTCGATGTGAGCATGAGAAAAGAGGATGACAGAAGGAGGTGGTGGGAGGAACAGAGGCGAAAACGAACATGTAGACAATGCACGTACGTGTTGATAGACGAAGGGAGCGTACCTGATCAAAGTCTTCAAACATTTATAAAGTTGACAATCTTTATGATGAATCTGTTGTAAATAGGTGTGTATGGATGAATTTCATTGTCACCAATATCAGGGAAGTACATTGTCGATGTTAGTGAGTGGAATAGATGAAAGGGCTCTCACTATTAAGTGGCTTAGATGCTTTCAAGTTGCTCGTTCTTAGCGAGGTTATCTCGTGGTGCAATCTACTTTTAGTTAGTGCTCAAAGTTATCTGGATTTCTGTGAAATTCTGCAATTTGTTTTATTCGTGTTGCATTTAGAATTGAGTTTAGAATCAAAGTTATCTAGAGTTCCATACTATTTTATAATGGGGCTCATTGATACTGATATCTCTCACTTCCTTGCATTACCAAATTTTGCAGGCAGCTAAATGGAATTACTATTACATTTATTTTTTTTATTTTTATTTTTTTCCCTCTCTTGACTTGAATTGAAGTCATATGCTTTCAGCGTATAACCCATTACCAACAACATGTTGCAGAAGAAGAACAAGGATGAGAAAATAAAGATGAAGTAGAGAAGGGCCAAGGGAGAAAGAAAAAAAAAAGAATTTTATTTGGCTTACCAAAACAATCGTTGACCCCCGAAGCACTATTCTTGACTTTTGTTGGTATAACGTTTGAAAAAAAGATTGATGCTAAGGCAAATGTGTTATTGATGACATTTGGTTTCTTGTTGTTAAGAAGACCATCAATGTACAAATTGTTGTTATCTCCTGTTGTTACCATGACATAGCACTGTGTTCTCACTGGAGTTCGGTCAATTTAGGAGTTGCTGCATAACCTTGTATCTACATTGATCCGTGAAGTTAAGATCCTTTTTACCCTTAGTTAAGTTTTACAATGTATGTTAGATGGTTGTTGCTAAAGTCACTCGTGTCAAACATCTTGTTCACTGAAAACAGTGAGGTCTCGAACAATCAACACGATCTAGATTTCAATCTAATACTCGATTAATCGGACCGGACTGTGTTCGTATCTCAGTGAGTTGAATATACAAGATTCGTAAAAACCGTATAAAACCCAACATTGGAGTGAAAAAGCACAAGTCTAACTTTTATGTTCGATTTTCAAATATATATATTTTCAACCACTTCTTAAGAAACGAAGCAAAAAATCGAGCAAACAATTAAGCGGTCCTCAAAATATGGAGGAAAATTCTTTCTTGCACAGATCATGTTACAAGACTATAAGTTTTCAATAAACTAAAAAAAAACAGAGTTCCAATAAAACAAACCCGAAAGTTATAAGAAAACTGTTTTATTGATTTTTGGCATATAGGACTATATGTTGTTTTCAACAGTTTATATAAAGCAATTTTAAAGTTAAAAGTAAAATCTTTGTCAAAAAATGTATGTTATGTAGAAAAACAACACAAAGAACTTTTGTCTCGAGCACACCTTTAAATTCTTAGTCAAACAAAAATTAAAATAAGAAACCTAGGCTACAAGTCGGGCCGCCTGAGTCACCCTATTTTTCGGGACGGCCGGACCGTGCAAGGACTAGGGAAGGTCCTTAAAAAAAAAAAAAAAAAAAAAAAAACTATGTTATACAAAAAAAATGAAGTGAACAACTTTTTCCTCAACAGTCACATCAAAATGCTTTACCATTTTTTAAATAAAAGATAGCTATAACTTTTTTTTTTTTTTTTTTTCTACGTTACCCAATCGGACGTCCGGACCCCTCCTGACCATTCGGGATTGGACAACAGGTCAGTCGTCCGCCCAGGGCCTTGTCTCCGATTGGCGGGGAAATTGGGGGGGCTGCTTCCATGGGGAATCGTGCGCCGTTAGGGTGAGAAGCGGGGGGGGGCTGAAAGGAAAAAATTGCCAACGTCGGTAGGGCCTCGAAAATCGAAAACAAAAATGGTCCAATCTGGGTCGTCAGATCTCTGAGATCGGCGGTCTAGATCGGCCCGATTTCAAATTCAAATTCTTAGTCGCTGCAGGTCTCTCTCTCGCTCAACTTCTCCCTACCCTGTCGATGGAGTTCGACGTTGCAGTTGTTGAACTCTTATGCCGAACGGTTGTAACCCATGTGCCATCGCACATCCTCGCCAAGTGAGTTGTCCTCCACCTCCTTCTCCTCCCCCCCCCCCCTATTCTTCTTTTACCTCAATGTCCTCCTTCTAGTCCTCGTCGACCTCCTCCTCGTCCTCGTCCTCGTCGTCCTCCTCCTCCTCCTTCTGCTCCTCCTCCTCCTCCTCCTTCTCCTCTTCTTTTTTCTCTTCCCCATCCTCCTCCTTCTTGGCCTCCTCTTCTTCCTCGTCATCCTTATCATCCTCGTCTTCCTCCTCCTCCTCCTCCTCCTCCTCCTCTTCCTCCTCCTCCTCCCCCTCCTCCTACTCCTCCTCCTCCACATCATCGACCTTCACCTCCTCTTCTTCATCTATCTCGTTGCCCTCCTCATCATCGTCATTCTCCTTCTTCACCTTCTCCTTCTCCTCCTCCTTCTCCTTGTCCATCGCCACGACACCCTCTTCGTCAACGTCCTCCTCTTCTTCCTCCTCTTCTTCCTCCTCCTCTTCTTCTTCCTCCTCCTCCTTCTCCTCGTTTTCCCCCTCTTCTTCGTCCTCCTCCTCCTCCTCCACGTCATCATCCTTCACGTCCTCTTCTTCGTCAATGTCAACGTCCTCCTCTTCTTTCTCCGCTTCTTCATTTGGCTCCCCCCACCCTGAGCGAGTATTTTCCCGCCATTTTCCCCCCACCCAGAGCGCGTATTTTCCCGCCATTTTTCCCCTACTCCAACTCTGATCTCCATCCCCCTCCCTTCGATCACCACCTGATCCCGACCTCCGCACTCCCGATTTCCACCAAATTCCCCGTTCCCGTTTCCACTGCCTGATTTCCCATCTCCGCTTCCCTCCCCTCCGATCGCTCGTTTCCCTTGCTTGCCCCGTTTTGTTGCTCGATCGAATTCCCACCCGTCCACCCGTCCACTATTGCCTTGCTATTCCCGATCCCGCTCTTCATCCCCCCCAGCCAGTTTTTCCCACCTAAATCCATTCTTTCCCAACAATTATGATCCCTCTTCCCCATTCGCGATAGCTCTTAGAGCATATACAACTGCGAGAGCATGGTCTATCGATCCTTCAGCGTTTTGTACTTGAAGTTAGTCCCGTGAAGATAGCTACCAGCGGGATAACCGCAGTGTGGCAGTCAGGCATTCATAGCGACATTGCTTTTTGATCCTTCAACGTCGCTCTTACAATCACTATCGACAGTGTCAAGCAGAATTCATCAACTATTGATAAGGATCCTATCAATCAATCAATCAATACAATCAATCAATCGATCTATCAATCAACCAATCAGTCGGGATCCGGTCAAACCAATTGCCTACCTATCCGTATATCTATATGTCTACCCACCCGTCAATCAATCAATCAATCAATCCACCCCCCCCAACACCCCACCATCACACCTCTCACACTGTATCAAAATTTGTTTTTCGTTTTTTGCTCATAACATCCTGAAATGTTTTTTGTGGCTTCCCTACTGGTGCGCAGACCCCCCCCCGTTTTTTTTTTTTTTTTTTTTTTTTTTTTGCAAAAAAATTATCGTCCGATTTGTCGGACAACTCCCCCCTGACCGTCTCCGGGAGACATCCGGGGGAGACGTCTCCCCATCGGACAACTGGCAGCCTAGGTATTTTTGGCCTGGTTGGGGAAGTGGTCCCAGGCCACTCTGATAGACAAGTGAAAAACCAAAAAAAAAAAAAAAAAAAAAAAAAAAGTTTGCCCACAAATGGGATAATATATTCTCATGAACGTATTCGCAAATACGATAATATGTTTGCTCGTTCGCGAAACGCTCAAACGTGTTCGTCCTGATACACAACCTATAGGACTGTGCACATGATTTTTTGAGATAATAAAAATATATATATATTTCAATTTTTAAATATATGATGTTTCGCTTAGTAGTGATGTATACATTGTATAGAGGAAAAAACCGCTCTTTTCCTCTCCACTTCGAGTGGTTCTAAAAAAAAAAACATTATTTGTTTTTTATTTTTTTTTACTTCGCAAAAAATCCTGCTCTTGCAGGAGGCCTATAAACCGTACCTTGAGAATCCTAAACAAATTTCATTCAAACCCAACATTTGTTTGGGTTGGGTTTTCACGAAACCTATGTTACTGTTAATTGGTTATAAAATGGATGAGCAAGTACTTTCATAAGAGTTATGGCTCCTGCTTCATACTGACCATTGTCATATGTGATTGTTGTTGTTATCATGATTAATTATTAGGGCAACTACGAATGTAACAATTGTCGTTATGCTTGTATGGTACAAGGAGTCACTACTTGTCAACTACTGATGCTACGTTGAGATGAAGATATGGGGAAAAAAGAAGTGTAGCTATGCATAGTTTTTATGTTCCTTTCCTAATGGGCTAGTAACTGGCATGATGTCCCAGTCACCTATTTCTACATTGAAGTCTTTGGTTGCTTATTTTCTTATTGACTCTATACCTAGGCTACCAGATAGCAGCCCGGGTCCCGAGTGGCTAACCCGTGTAAGGAGCAGAGAAGGTCTCAGCAAAAAAAAAAAAAAAAAAACAAAAAAAAAACACTATGATATGCCGAAAAATAAACTGAACAACGTTTGTCAGAGTGTCACATTGAAATTATTCATCAAATTTAAAATAAAAAATAAAATATACAATTATTATTATTTATTTATTTTTATTTTTTTTTTTATGTTTTGGCTCGGTCGGACAAGTGACCCCGGGCCACTCTGGTAGCCTAGCTGTATACAATAATATAGTCCTGTGCACGTGAGTTGAAACCAAATAGTCTGCTTAGCAAACTTTGATTGATGAATCATGACTTTTCGTGAGGCGTAAAGAGGCATAAAAGAGGAAGGTTGTAAAATTTAACAAAAAAAAAAGGTTGTCATTCTGCTCTATTTGCAGACAAAGGGGGATAGTAGTGGCAATGGTGGCTAAGTATATTACCTACGTTGCAGCATCCTAAGAATCTGTGTGTCTGAACAATGAGAAACGGGGACCATTAAATTCCATTATCACCCGTTGAATCGCCCTAGGGGCCCCGTTGAATCTCGTTTAACGGAAAAATAAGGGGTCCCCCATTGATTCCGAAAAAACGGGATGGGCGCGTTGGGTCTGGGACACGTGGCCCTACAAGCCCATACACTAAAAAAAAAAAAAAAACAAAAACATTTAACCCCTATTAACAGGGTTCGGTGATCGAACATGCCCTTCCCTTCTGAAAATCAAACTGCAAGAGAAAAGCGGTTAATGGAAGGCTAAAAATTTGCGAATTTTTCACCGAAACTGCCATATTTTTCTGAAGTTTTACTTTTTTTTTGTTTTTCTTTTTGTCTGATATGTACGTGCTTTAAGGTATATCTCTAATCAGTTTCGCCGCATTTGGACTCGTAACGAAAAACTTAGCAAGAACACTGGACTGGAAAAAAAAATTAACAAACTTCGAAAGTTAATCCAAATAGGGTTCTATAGTGCTCTTGAGTTTGTTTGTTTTTCCTTTTTTTTTGCCTGTTTGTTTTTTTTATGTTTGTATTATGACCCGGCATAGTTTGTTTGCAAACGTTTCGACAATATTGCTTGTAGCGATGCAACAAAAAACCCTGAATTTTTGACCTTCTATTAACCGCTAGTGCCTAGTTATGTCCAGTCTCATTTTCAAAGGGCCCCTATGAATTAGCAAGGACCTCTCGTGGAGCACAGATGAACATTTGACTTCTAGTATGTCCGCGTCGACGGAGAATATATAGTGTGGATTTGAATTCAGGTTTGTGCATTAGAGTTATGGACACTAATTCTGTGTTTGCTCGTTTTTCTTTCGTTTCTCGTTTTTCTTTTGTTTTCTCATTTTTTTCCCCTTAGAATTACGTGTAATGGCCCTAAGAACCATTACTCACCACATGCACAAAAAATAAAACATATGACAACGTATTATTCCATGTTCTAGCAGAAAATTCATTATTATTCTGCAGATTTGCAGTGGCCCTAAGGGTCTCTATTCACCACATGCATAAAAGACAAAACATATGGCGGCGTATTATTCCACGTTATAGAAGAAGTTTCATAATAATTTGCACATTTGGTAAGTACTGCGGCCAAACCATGAGAAATTTGCCCCCACATTCCCCAACCCCAAAAACACCCCGCTCCCCTAAAGCTGCCCTCCAAAAGCATTTTTCCCGCCCCCTACCCCCCCCCCTCCTCCACAAAATTTGCCCCCTCATCCTCCAAACCCCACCTCCCAAAATTTCCCCCCATATCCCTCATCCCCAACCCCCACCGCCCCCACATGTGTGTTTTTTTGTGTGTTAGTGTGTGTTGTGTGTCTCTTCGTGTGTATGTTTTCGTGTGTTTGAGTGTGTAGTGTATATGTGTGTATGTGTGTTTATGCATTTGTATGTGTTGTGTGTTTGTGTGTCTGTGTTTGTGTCTGTATCTGTGTGTCTATGTGTATTTGCGTTTTTTTTTTTCCTTTTTTTTATTTGTTTTTTTTATTTTGATTTTTTTTTTAATACACGAAGTTCAAAGAAAATAAAAAACAAATGTTGTGGTACATCTTTGAAAGATCTACAGCCTTATGTTTTTCTATGTAGCACGGCATACCTGGCCGGATAACCTGGTCGGATTATCTATCCGGATTATCGGGGGCTATGATTATCCGGGAATCCGGATGATTAAAAAAATGACCAAAAAAAAAAAAAAAAAAAAAAAARAAAAAAGTAATATTGCGCATGCATAATACAATTGAGCTATGTTCCTATTTCATAAAAAGTTTGATAAGTCATGGAAGGGTTGAAAGGGGGTAAGATAGGGAATGAAGGGGTTTAGAGGGGGGATGCTTGATTCGTTTTATAATTTTTTATCCAAATATTATTAATTTTTTTCTGTTTTATATTTTTATCTTTTTATCTGTTGAGATATCAACAATGGCCTCAAGCCAAAATTTGTTCGTATCACTGATGTGAACAACATAATTGTTTTCCAGAAGTTTTTGAATTTTTTTTTGTTTTCGGTAAAAAAAAATGTTTTGCGCAGGGCCGGATTTTTCCATATCCGAAATTAATCCAGAATTTTAATCCGGATTGAAAATTCCGGATAAAATGGCCTGTCGGATATCCGGATTTGCTACCTAGATGTTTTTTATTTGTTTTTTTTATTTTGTTTAAGCCTTTAAAAAAAAACGGTGAAACCCAAAAACAAAACACTCATTTTTTATTATTATTTTTTTTTTCATTGCGTTTATATTTTTCGTTTTTTTTAAACATAAAAATAAAAATATGGGGTTGTAGACCTCGAAAAGATCTACAACCTTTTTTTTATGTTTAGCCGATGAAAAAAAATCATCGAGGACCCCGCTTATACCCGTCCAACGAGCGTTTTAACGGGGATTCAACGAGGACTCAACGCTCGTTGAATCTTTCAACACGGATCCCCGTTGAATCCGTTTTCGGACACACAACTAAAAACTAGTGTGGTGTGATTCATTGTGTTGAGGTGAATTGTTGTATTCCCTTTGTTGTTCTTACTTATATTTTGGGTGCACTACTCGGATCGAGGTCTAACAACTTTGAGCAGCGCGAAGGTGTGTTGAGTAGGGGTTACATTGATCTACTATCGACTGGTTGATGTTCTAAAATACTGCGGTCCTTCCCATGGTTTGAAGGATATGGTGCTCTTGATTACCAACTTAACAAATATGAGGTTTTATGAGGCGGGACATGGTTTCATTAAGGAGCGACTAAGTTAGGGAAGCTGAGAATAAGTTGCGATATCAGGACTTT